GGCGAGTGTGGGCTTGGCCAGGAAGCGACAGAATGCTGACTCCAACTAGAGAATATAATTCTCCTGACATCTCTGTAAGGAAACTGGTTGCTATTGTCCTCCCCATTTTGCACAGGAGAATGTAAGCACCCAGAGATGCCAGGGGGCATCCAGTATAATTCCCCTCTCTTCCTCCTGGCTGCCATTTCATTAATGAGGAGGCAGAGGGGAAACGGCTGGCTCCCGACCACCCCTCTGGGGATGACATCAGATCAAGCTGGAGCCATTTAAACTCTGTCTCCCTTCCTCTACTCAATTTAAAATCAAATTTAAAAACTACCTCCCCAGCTACAAAACCCTTCTGCCACATTCTCATCAACAGCTCATCTTTTTTTTACTCTAAAGGAACTTATTTTTTAAAAGACCTTAAAATAAAGACTGATTAAGCTTGAGGCTTGATACTTAATTTATATCATTAAAAACTGTGACTGCAATTAACAGTAGCAATTATTACATTGTAAATTTGAGAAAGATTTCTGATTAGTGAGATGACATGGTGATATTTGGGGAGAAGTTATACATAGAAAGAAAATTGGTTAAATACTGAAATACTATTAAGGCATTCATGTCCCAAAGCGCCTAAGGGAGAATTCCAATGCCAATTTTATTCCAGAATCTCAAGGACACAGCAAATGGCCAACACAGTTCTAAGCAGAAGAGGGATTGTCCCTCTAAACTGGTAAACCGCGGAAAATTCAAGGAGGGCAACTAAGGTTTATGAAAGAGTCACAAGTGTCTGAAATACAGACATTTATAAAAGGCCTTAGGGATAAGAACTTCCTGGAATAATTTATTACCTACACATTCAATTTCCTCTGGAAGTTCTAAATGCTCAGCAAACATTAATCAAGTCAGTCTTTTAGATTATTTCCCCCATTTTACAGATAGTGATTCAGCAGAAGTCAAATGACTTGTCAGAGTAACTTGGACACTATAAATGTAAATAATTCACTATTTCAACCCTCTCCTGCCATTTGTTAGATTGGAATTGAGGTGCTAAGAGGATTTCCACCACTTCCTCGGTCATCCTGTATTTGCTGCTCTCTGCTGCTCCCTGTTGATGCGACAAGGGAGGAGCAGGTCTCAAGACCTGCCCAAAATTAGGTCCCAGGACCAGGGAGATAGGTATCAGCATCACCCAGATCTTGTTAGAAATCCAAATGAGGGGCCTTTCCCCATAACACTAAGAGACTCAGGAGGTGCTCTGCCATTTGTATTTTAACAAACCTCCGGGTGACTCTGTTGCAACTTGGAGTTAGTTTTCTGCCTTAGGTACGAATGTCTTGGCCTCAGTCATCTCAAAAATGAAGCCTCTCCAGAGTGTGACTGTCCTCAGGCCTCACATGTAGTGTACACTACTTGGCCATATACAAAGTGCTGCCACCTCCACTTATTCTCTTTCTCTGTCTCTCTCTGTACTGGGGATTGAACCCGGGGTCTCTGCAGTGAGCTTTTTTAAAATTTTGAGCCAGTGTCTCACTAAGTTGCTAAGTTGCCCAGGCTGGGCTCAAACATGCAGTCCTCCTGTTTCAGCCTTCTGGAGTGCTGAGATTACCAATTTGCACCACCATACCTGACTTTACCTCCATCAACATTTTTTTTTTTTTTTTTTGAGACAGGGTCTCACTATGTAGTCCAGGCTGGCCCTGAACTCGAGGTGATCCTCCTGCCTTAGCCTCTCAAGAGCTAGATCACAGTTGTGCACCACCATGCCCTGCTACCTCCATTCATTCTTGCAGATGGATTTGCAGCAGCCCTGTGGAGTCAGTCAGGGAGGGAGAGCTGACCCATTTTGCAGATGAAGAGACTGGGAGAAGAGACTCAAGAAGGTCAAGTAAGCTGTCAGAGCTACTCAGCTTTAGATGACAGGGCTGAGTTCAAATCCAGGTCTTCTGTTTTTATCTCGATCCCCTAGGCTTCTTCACGAGCTCCATAGTGGAGCTTCTGACATTTGAGACAGATAATTCTTTATTGTGGGGGCTGTTTTACAGATTGCAGGATGGTTTGTTTGTTTGTTTGTTTGCTTTGCAGGGGTGGAGTTGAACCTAGGGCCTAGTGTGTGCCAGGCCAGTGCTCTACCACTGAGCTACATCTCCAGCCTTAGACTTTAGGATGGGTGGTAGCACCCTTGGCCTCTACCCACTAGATGCCAGTAGTACTCCACCCTGGTTGTGACAACCACAAATTCCTAAATATTGCCAAATGTCCCCTGGGTGGGCACAAAGTCATCCCTCACTGAGAACCACTGTCTTACAGCCATTGCAAGAAAGGGAGAACTCGTACAATTTCTGTTCAGCAGATTTTGCACTCTTTGGAGGTGATTTCAGAACTAAAAGCTTTTGTTCTCTAGGCCATCTAGGAAGCAAAGGAACTTGACTAAATATTAGTCCTACAATACCTTCACTGCCCTTTGCGAAAACTTACATTAATTAACACCATCTGGTATCCGGGCTATATTTAAATTTCTCTAGTCCCCAAAATATCTTTCATAGCTATCTATATATTTTTACCTCTCCCATCTAGGATCCAGCGTAGCTTCTCAGATTGTACTGGTTGCTAACTATTTCATCTCTAGGCAAACTGTGTCCCAAGGGCCAATTTTTTTTTTGGCCCACCACCTGTTTCTGTAAATAGATTTTCTCTGAAATTCAGCCATGCTCTATCACTTATGTAACGTTGCTGGTTGTGTTCATGCTACAACAATGGAATTGAGTCACTATGACAGAAACTGATCCACAAAACCTAGAAGAGTTACTTCCTGGCCCTTGACAGAAAGTTTGCTGACCCGTGACTTAGTATCCTGCTTGCTGCCTGTCTTTATTTTTATTTTTAATGATGCTGGGGATTGAAACCAGAGTACTGTGAATGCTAGGCAAGCATTCTACTCTTTTTTTTTAAGCACTCTACTCTTGAGCTACAACCCCAGCCCTAATTTCTTCTTTTAAATTGGCCTGATTCAAAGAAACAGACCTGAGGACCAGTGGAACAGATTAGGAGATGCAGAAACAATGCCAGACACACTCAGACATCTCATCTTCGATAAAGGAGCCAAACACCCTCACTGGAGGAAAGATAGCCTCTTTAATAAATGGTGCTGGAAAAATTGGGCTTCAACTTGCCAAAGATTAAAACTAGACCTATATCTCTCACCATGCACTAAACTAAAATCAAAATGGATTAAAGATCTAAATATTAAAATAGAAACTCTGAACCAGTTGGAACAGAGGTTAGGTAGAACCCTTGAAGACATTGGTGTAGGAAAAGATTTTATGAACAAAACCTCAGTTGCCCGTGAACTAGCACAAACAATCAACAAATGGGATCTCTTCTTATTAAAAAGCTTCTGCACAGCGAGAGAAACCACCAGCACTGTGAAGAGACAATCCACAATGTGGGAAAAAATCTTCACCTGCTCTTCCTCAGACAAAGGTCTACTATCTCGAATCTATAAAGAACTTAAAAAGATCAGACCTCCCAAATTTAAAGACCCAATCCAAAAATGGGCATCTGAAATGAACAGACATTTCTCAGACAAAGAAGTAGAAATAGCAAATAAATACATGAAAAAATGTTCAACATCACTGGTCATTCGAGAGATGCAAATGAAAACAATGCTGAGATTCCACTTCACTCCAGAAAGAATGGCTGCTATCATGAAATCAACCAATAATAAATGCTGGCGGGGCTGTGGGGAAAGAGGAACCCTGCTCCACTGCTGGTGGGAGTGTAGACTGGTGCAACCACTGTGGAAATCAGTATGGAGATACCTCAAAGAACTAGGACTGGAAGTCCCATTTGACCCCGCTATTCCACTGCTGGGGATCTTCCCCAAAGAATTAAAGGAATCATACCACAGGGATATATGTGCACCCATGTTCATAGCAGCACAGTTTGTAATAGCTAAAACTTGGAAACAGCCCAAATGCCCATCAACTGGAGACTGGATAAAGAAAACGTGGTTTTTTTTAATAAAACGGAGTACTACTCAGCCATAAAAAATGAGAAATTAGAGACATTTATAGCTAAGTGGATGCACATTGAGGCGATACTCTTAAGTGAAATAAATAGGACACAGATATGTAAATACCGAATAGTTTCTCTGGTGTGAGAAACTGAAAGTGTAAATAAGGACTAAATGTATAATAGGTAATGTGAAATAGGAAGAAAAGGGGCAAAGGGGAAGGAAGTGGGAGGGCTAGGGGAAAGGATAGAAGGGAATGGGATTAATATGAGAAAATGGAAAAATAGGAACAAAATCTTTGTAAATAGGGAGGAATGGAGAGGTTGAAGGGAGGGCTGGGCAAGGGTGAAAAATAAGAACCAAGAGAGAATATGTAAACGTGCAAATTTCCAATGATGAATGTCATTATATTGTATACTTAAAATGTACCAATGATTAGAATGAATAATCGATAATGTGAAATAGGAAGAAAAGGTCCTAAGGTGTAGGGGTAGTGGGAGGGGCAGGGGAAAGGAAAGAAGGGAAAGGAAAAATGATGAGAAATGGAAAAAATGGAAATAAAGTCTTCGTAAATAGGGAAGGGTGGAGGGCGTGAAGGGAGGGCTAGGAATGGGGAAAAAATAAGAACCAAGATGCATTATGTAAAGGTACAATGCCCAATGAGAAATGTAATTGTGTTGTATACCTACAATGTACCAATAAAAGAATTTAATACAAAAAATAAATAAATAAATTGGCCTGATTATATACATTTTATATTAATTTTCAATTGAAATTTCAGTACCATATACATATGTATATATTTATTTTTTTTGGTACCGGGGATTGAACTCAGGGCCTTGTGGTTGTGAGGCAGGCAGTGGTATCACTGAGCTAAATCCCCAGCCCTATATACATATATCTTGAAGTAGAAAATATATATGAAATTATTGATGCTCTTTGGGGTGGTGTTATAGAACTTTTTACCTGTCAAAAACTATAAATAAAATCAAAGGACAAATGATACATTGGGAAAACAATGACAATACCACAGTATTGTCTCTTCCCATATTTATTTTTCAGGAAGGGGAGAAAAAGAATGTCGTCTAACATATGGCAGATGATTTTAATTGCAGATAGGGTGAAATCCTCACTGATCAAGGTTCCAATCATTTAAATAGAGAAACTAGTAGGAAAACTAGGGCCCTCCTTTAGAAAGTCAAAACTTATGGTTCTAAATCTGTGCTCCAGAGTGTACAGAAATTCAGGTATATAGCCACATGCCCACTCTGAGTGCAGGGCCATGTGTCTAGCATGAGGTCTGGTATACAGAAAGCACTAAATAAACATCCATGGGTAAACGAGTATCATTCCTTCACTCAGCTGGGCAGGGCAGGTTGTCACCATAATACAGTGCTCACACCTTTTATTAGATTAGCATTGTTTTCTGAGTATAAGAAGTTTGCACACCAGACAAAAGGCTCAGGCCTGTACCTATTCTGCCAGGGCCTTGGGCACATTAGGCAAAATGGGATTCAGTTGGCCTGGAACCTGCTCTTCAGGCAGGACTACACTGGTGTTATGCATATGGTTATATGGACAGCTAGAAAGTGCCCAGCCTCTCCTCCCACTTAACCTGGGTCAGAGTCTGAGGGACAGGCCTTCTCCCTACTCTTGGGAGATAAGACATCTATGCTACTGCTCACCTACGATTTATTCATGAATTGCAACAAGAAAGAAAAAGCACTGCTAAGTTATTTTATCACTTCTCTAAAGTGTGATTTAATTCAACCTCCTTAACATTCAACTTCCCTAAATCAGGGTATGTATTTTACAATAATCTTCAGAAAAAAAGAGCTAACAGTGATCCATTCCTGTGTACAGTTCACATAAACGGCACTGAAGAGTGGACTGTTGGACAGAAATAAGGCTGCAGACTTAAAGAATTCCCGCGTAGTCCTTGAGCAGTGGGTTCGTCTCCTGGTTTCCCAGGAAGAATGCGGCCCTTGTGTCGTTGAGGACGACATGTAGGCCTTTGCTTTTGAGCACCTTCTCAGTACTGTTTTTAATTGGTTTGTATTCCTTGTGTTTTCTGAAAACAAGGTGTTGGACAGTTATTAAAGAAAAGATCTTCAGCTGAAACAAATTACTTTCTACAGTCCTTCTCATGTCAGGTTCAAAGGGTTAATTCCATTTAACCTAATCAATGCTTGAAATGTGCTGGTATCTTATAAAAATGTAGTTATTTTTTTCTTTATGAAGAAATGTGTCTGCTCCTTATGATTTAAGATTATATGTCAAATAGTACATAGACATAATTTCATAAAGCTACTGACATCTGGTAGCATTTTTAGGATAAAAAAACCAGCAAAATTAACAGACTAATTTGGCATTCATCGTTTGATGGAAGATTTTCTTCTCATACACAAAATGTTTTAAAGAAAAAAGGAAAATGGCATATTTGCACAAAAATATGCCATTTACTTCTGCCAACACACTATGGAGATTGAAAGTGTTAGAATCAGAAACTTACCTGTGCACCAGGACGGCGATCACGGTGACGATGACGGCCAAGCAGCCACCTGAGATCAGGGCAGCATTTGTCATCCTGAAAGGGGAGGCTGGGTCTTAAAACAGAAGCAAGATTGTGTTAGCTGTGTCTTCCACTTAGAGGACACGCTGCTTGTAATGCCATTAAATAAATGAGGGAGGGAGCGCTTGCGGAAGACGTATGGCTCCCTCTGGGCTTTCGGTAATCATTTCCATGAAACAATACATAGTCTCTGGGTCAGCTTATCTTCCATTTAGAGAATGAGTTAGCGTGTCTGGAACACTGTGTTAAGGGATCGGGAGAGCAATGTCATAGCCTGGAGACTCCTGCTCAGGTCTCCACGGATCCAGCAGGACCCAGGTGCTGCTGGGCTTCCGTGATCCACCGTGCATAACTCGGGCCTCATCTCTCACTTCCTACCTTCCCACTGTGCTAAAAATCCTGAGAGTCACCCCTATTCCCTCCACTATTTCAAACCCCCATGTCCTCTGCTGGAATGCCCTTCCCCTGGCTCGTGGCAGGGCCCCTCTTTCATGCCGCCTCCCAAGGTTTCTTGAGGTCACCAGGTCATGTTCTCCTTTGTTACCATCTACTTTGTCTACTGTGTCTGGGCCACATTGTGGTGCCTTCCTGCCTGCCTTCCTTTCTTCCTCCCTCTCTCCCTCCTTCCTTTTTTTTTGGTAGTACTGGGGATTGACCCCAGGGCCACACATGTGCTCTACCACTAAGTTACCTCCATCCCTTATTAGAATTTCTTTAAAATTTTATTTTGGATCAGGGTCTTGTAGGCTGGCCTTGAGCTTGGATTTCTCACACCCCAGCCTCTCAAGTACCTGGGATTACAGGTGTGTACCACCACACCTGCCCACCATTATTTCTTTACATGTATTTCTCTCCTACTAGGCTATGCAAGCCACAGATTATGTTTTCTTTCTTCTCCTGCAACCCAACAAATCAATCAGTTCTGTCTCTGCCCTAAAGCATAACAGCTTACCTACTTTTTCCTCATAGCCTCTGCTACTTGTCACCAGGGCCCTCTTGTGCTTACTCTTACCTTCCAACAACCTTCCCTCCACTGTGCAGTTGGAATAGTCTTCTGAAAGCATCAACCAGATCACACTGCTAGCCAGTCAGTGGCTCCCTCTTGCACACAGAATAAAGCCCGGGCCTGAGGAACTAGATGGGCCTTTCATTCTTGCAGTTCAGGTCTCAGCTCAGAGGAGCACCTTCACCAAGAAGGGCCACAGGGTTGGCGGGGCTTCTCCCCCACAGAGTGCTGACTCTGTCCTCTGCTATATCTCCCTCCTCCATGCTCACCACTCTGCAGCTCTGACCTGGCTTTATTTTCTTCACAATTCTATCTTGTTTGTTTATTGCCTGTGTTAAATTGAACAAGGAGGAGGCTGTTGTCCCAAGGCTATTTAAGTATTTTGAATTCCTACCCAAAAAACTGCAATCTTAATAGTTAAATACATTGAAACCCTATTTAGGAGAATATTTTGTAGCCAGTCACAGCCAGTTGACTGATGGGTGCCAGGACCAAACTAGGCACCTGCCTCACTGCCACCATTCAAGAGATTTCTCTACTTGGCATCTCAGGCAACATAAGAAAGCTCACTGCTCAATAGTGGAGCTCTCTGAGCTTCATCTGGCTCTTGAGTGTTGCTCAGTTTGGTGCCTAAATAAACTGTCTGCTGGATATTGTGGTTCATGCCTGTAATTCCAGCACTTTAGGAGGCTGAGGCAGGAGGATTGACTATTTGAGCCCAGGCGGGCAATTTAATAACTTCATGAGATAAGACACTGTCTCAAATAAATAAATAAATAAATAAATAAATAAATAAATAAATAAATAAATAGGTTGGGGATGTGACTTATTGTAAAGGTCCTGGGTTCAATCCCCAGTACCACACACACATACACACACATCAAACCTCTGTTAAATTTAATTTGCCTCAAATTTTTCTTTTAACATCTGTCACTGCTCAGAAAGGCAAAAATCTTCTTTGTCTTGTTCCTCACTTTACCTAGAATTGTATCTCATGCCCAGAACTGTGTTGGGCATGCAGTACATGCTCAATCATTATTTGTTGAAAGAATTAGAGGTGCTTCATGAATATTCATTGGATCCATAAATACAAATAATTTAATCTAACAGTCTATGGACTTCCTCTCTCTCTTTTCCCTCCCTCCTTCTGTCTCTGTCTCTGTCTCTGTCTCTGTCTCTCTCCTCTCTCTCTCTCTCTTTTTTCTTTCTCCTTCAGTGTTAGGAATTTAATCCAGGTCCTTGAATTTGCTACACAAGTGCTCTAGCACTGAGCTATATCCCCAGCCATTCAAAAACATTTTATTTTCGGACAGGGTCTTGCTAAGTTACCTACATGGCCTAAAACTTGTGACACCCCACCTCAGCCTCCAGAGTAGCTGGGATTACAGGCGTGTGCCACATGGAGTGATTGAGCTAGACCATGTAGGTCTGGGTAAGTACAGTCTACAATATTCGCACAATGATGAAATGCCCAGTAATAAGTTTCTCAGAACATGTTCCTGTCAGCAAGGGACTATTACTATATTAGATTTCTCTTTCAATGGGGTTAAAGTTGCCCTTCATATGATTAATGAATAAATATATAAGTACATTTTATCTTGTAAAATAAGCAAGTCCAAAGGAGTCATTAGTGAGATAGTATTAGGTTGTACCTGACAATATGCAAATTATAGGGCAAAATTAGTGCAATGTGTCCACAGTTACAATCTTTCCCTTGTATTCTACCACATAGCACTTCTAAGATATAAAGGAGTCTTAAGAGAAAGTTGGTTGTAACTGAGATTTAGTTAAGGTCACTGGGGTTCAGAACTTGCTTATTTTATAAGATAAAATGTACTTAGACATTTATCGAATGCCACCAGTAACTGCAGATTTCTAAATGAAATTCCTCAGTCTGCTTTGTTAACATTTTACACACACACCCCCACCCAGCATCAGGAGGGCAAAGAGCAGTTTTCCTGGTGAGCATCTGAAGGGTAGGTGAGTTGGTCTGTTACTGCCTCTGTGCGGCAGTTAGTAGACTGGGAGAAAAGAGAGGACACACGGCAGGGTAGAGAGGAGCTGGGGTCCACTCGGCTTCCTCTTTCTCTTGGCTTCACACCTGTGCCCAAGTGGACTCTCATGAAAGCCAGATCTCAGCCTCTCCTGTTATCATGCCATTGCTATTTTTTGACACGGAGCTTTACATTTTCCTCTTGACATACAAATCTATTCAAGCATGCAATGATCATATCCCATTATTATGGGTCCATGATCACAGACAACTTGTTTTTCATCAAAAGACTTTTCTTTGATCACGGTTTCACTGAGTTTCCCTCACCACTTCCCTAAGTAGATTCACTGCTGGACTTTAATGCCAGTGTGAGTTTTGCACTGAAATAACAGTAAGCATTGATGCAAAGCCCTCAGGGGTTCAATACTGGGCACAGACTTTACCTGCAATATGAAGTGCTCTTAGGACCATAAAACAAAACTCACCTTTGCTAGCAACGGAGACCAGGGTGCTAGTGAGGGCCAGACTTGTGTTGTCACCCAGAGTGAAGTTTACACAGTACATCCCAGAGCCTTTGAAGGCTCTTCTCACGGTCACCAGGCATTCGTCCACATCCACGCTGTTGCAGACCATGTCCTGGGCAAGCTGGCAGGCGGGGTCAGAGATGATGGTACAGACTTCCCTGGGGATGCTGGGACGGGGAGGGGTGGGAGGGGCACCCAGATCACACAGAGGGACAGAGGAACGCAATGTCAGTTTTTTAAAAAGAAAAATCATTACATTTCTATAAAGTCGGGATTTCCCTATTCTTATTCAAATCAGATGATGTTAAATTGTAGCGTGTGATTTGCTTTTAAATAAGCCTGAGGATGAGCTGCCCAAGTTTCCTCTGCATCCCCAGGAAGGTGAGGTCAGAGGACAGAAGAGGAGGAGGAGATGGCATCTCCCAAGGCAAGGGGTTAGCAGGAACTGTGTGAAGCCCAAGTCATTTCCTCTGCGTTCTGGGCCCCCTGAATGTCCAGAGATGCAGGCGCTTAAGTGCTGGGTGGAGATGTTCTTTGCTGTCAGAGTCGGCCCTGCCTGGGTTCCTGCAGAGGGATGGCAGCAGCAGCAGCGCAGCTGGCCCCAGTTTAGACTTAGGATGTCGTCTCATGAAGAAAGTAATTTTATCCTAGTGTAACTGGTGACAGCCCAGCTCAGGGACGGGAAAAACTAGGCCAAGGTCACACAGACAGCTCTTTCTGCTCCTCAGCCCCAAGCCACAGAGCTTCTTAGTCATTTCCTTTTACCAAATAAGGCCCATTGTTATACCATCCAATCTCTTGATTGCTTGATCTATTTAAACATACATATATTTTATTAGTTAAGGTATACACACGTCAATTAGTTGACTTGTTAGTATATAATTAATCGATGTAATCTCTATTAAATTATTTATATTTAGTTCATTGTACACAGTCCTGACCAAATCAAGGGAAATCAAATTATGGTAGAAAAAGCACTGTGAATTAGAGAGAGGATTATCATATAATAGTTCCACACTGGCTTCCTGCCTGCCAGAGGAGCCTCGGGGAGCACAAGAGCCAGCTCTGAGTCAGACCCCTGACCTAGGAGCCGTGCTCTCCGCCAGCACCAGCAGCTCTCTGTGGGCAAGTTCTGCAATCACTGTGGGCCTCACTTGCCTCATCTGTGAAATGGGATGATTCAGCATGAGATAGATGTAAGGTGTTAAGGACACAATAAGTGTTCAGCTGTTGATCATAATTACTATTCAAGCTAATCAATAGTTAAAGGTAATGAGCATTCTCAGCTCTACTAAAATACGTGTGCACTTGATAGTGCCTTTCTATAGCCCTCTGTAAGTCTGTTTTCGTCTGGGGCTTCTAATAAATTAAGGAATTTAACGTAGAAGGGACAACTAGTGATCAAGGCCTTTGTTCAAACCTAGGGTCCTCACTTGACCCAGCTCTCTGAGGGGGACAATACTTACATGCCCTCGCAGGTCACAGTGAAGTCCATCAGGGAGTTGTCAGGCTGAAGCTCAGGGCTCGGGACATCTGCTATCTGAATGATGTTAATCTCTAGGATTCCCTCTAACACAATAATCACCATAGAAAAATGTCAGAACACAACAGAAACAAAACCAGGCCACTGTTCTGTACACTGAATGCTGTGTCTTCTCAGTTGTGCATGGTGAAATGCTAACCAAGGTGATGGTATTAGGAAGCGGGCCATTGGCAGATGATAGGACAAATGTCCTTATAGAGACCCCCATGGAGTTCCCTTGTCCCTTCTGCCATGTGAGGACACAATGAGAAGATGGCCATCCATGAACTCAGAAGCAGGACCTCAATAGACCCCAAATCTGCTGATGCCTCGATCTTGGGCTTCCAAAGAAGCCCATAACCACAAGAAATGAATTTCAGTAGTCTCTAAGTCACCCAGTCTATGGTATTCTATTATGGAAGCCTGAAAGGACATAGGCAGCCTTCTTAATGAGTCAGCACCCTGTTCCTTAAATGGAGACAGCCTTGTTGCCAAGCAGAAACACAGCTCATCTGGGAAGCAATCTCACTCATCTCCGGGAACGCATATCCAGGTCGCATTTCCAAAGTCACACTGAACTGTTCTTTGGTTCAACCTAGATTCTTGGTGCTAGAGCCTAGGTGTGGGTTAGAAAGCAGCAACCTTCTGGGCAGATGTTTCAGGTCAGCGAGTGGCCAGCTCCTTCCAGGCAGATGTCACTGGGCCCAGGGTGCACAGGCTGGACTCTGGTCCCTGCCTGACCTCTCTGCTGAGCGACACCTTGGGGCAGTGTCCAAAATGCACAGCCATGTGTGGTGGCCTGCTCATTCCCTTTTTACAACAAGAAAAGTGACTGTGTGAAAATTAGCTAAGGGAAATGGGGAACTCTATCCTAGCTTCCTTCACCCTCCATATATCCCAAATCCTGGATGCTCAGAAGGGATTCAGGCTCATCTGCATGTGGGCCTCAAAGAGGACTACTCTCCCTCAGAATGTGTGAGGAAGATGGGTGAGCAGCCAGAAACTTGGGAACTAGAAAAGCCTTTCCTTGTGCACCTGGCAGTACGTTGGACAGGAAGTGAGGTGTCCCTTCCCCTACCTCTACCCTCCTAGAGTTAGCAAGGGAATGGGTGACCCGAGCTGACTCCCTCATTGGTCTCCAGCCTTACCTACAATCGTGAGGGTGGCTTCAAAGTAACCATATCTGTTAATCTGGCAGTTTTCATCAGGAATCTCGCTCAGCTCCAGGGGGCTGTCACCAGCAGGCACTGGAGTGTTTGAATAGTAAGATATTTTAAAAATAGTTACTAAGAATGCAACAGATGTGCACGACATAGCCAAAAATCTAAACACATGTCTATCTGCCTTTTTTAGAAAAACATCAAGAATTCTATACTATTAAATCCATGGAGAAAAAATAATGTTTTGTTTTTTTTTTTTGAGAAAAGGTCTCACTGTGTAGTTCAGGCTGGTCCCCCCCACCCCCAGTACCAGGAATTGAACTCTGGACCTTGCACTTGCCAAGCGGGCACAGAACCATTGAGCTACCTCCCTAGCCCAGTTCAGGTTGGTCTTGAACTCACTATGTAGCCCAGGCTGGCCTCAAACTCATGCAGATAGATCCTCCTGCCACAGCCTCCTGAGTGCTGGGATTATAGGCATGCACCATCATGCCTGGCTATGCACAAATTTGAAGTAAATGTGTAAAGATTCATAGAGGTGTGAGTGCCACAAGAGATATAAGTGCTATTATAACTGCTAAATTATGTAAGTAAACGTAACTTCTTTGTTTGGTGTGCTTAGGATTGAAGTTTTTGCTGATGTCAGGTGATTACTCTACCTCTGAGCTACACCCTGCCCCAAACATAATCCCATATCTTGTTTAAACACAGGAAGCAAATGAAAAGTTGAAGTCACATTAAAATGTGTGACATGGTGATTATGATGAAATAAAATAGGCCATAATAGATGAAGTCATATTTTAATTCAAGAGGCTTTTTAGCTGTTTGAGGCCATAGGCACATTATTTAACCTATCTTTGCCTCTATCTGCTCATCTATAAAACAGGAATACTATTTAGCTGCCATCCCAGTAGTGAATCATGAGAGAAGGTATGTACAACCTGCTTCTTCTAGGTCTGCCACATAGGAAGTACTTAATAAACATATTTCCTTGTTCCAAGAATATAGAAAAAGGTAATTCTTTTCCTGTTTGAATGGCTTCCAGGTCCAAAGCTTACATTCCAAGAATCTTACTGTGATGAGCAAAGGTGTGAGGAAAGAAAAGAGTGAATACAAGACATGAACAATAAGGCTTGGATATAATTAGAGAAAAAAGCTCTAATGCTCTACTAGTTACATTTTAAAAGATGTTGGTACTACTTTAACAAGATGAAAAGTTGAAAGAAAACATGATACTGAAAATATAACCTTCTCTTCTCTTCTTTTCAAAAGGCATTGAAATAGACCCGTCTTGGGGGAGAGCATCAAAGCTTCAAAAGAGCCCCCTTTCTAACTTTGTGACATGTAAGGATGAAGCTTCCTATGAGGTTTCCCCAGGGCTTCTCAGAGCCTTTTAAAGGTGACATGCTTGTGACTTTCCTGTGTGTGTAGTTCTCAGAACATAGAGTAGTTCTCAGAACATTTCCAGAACATAGCTCCATGGCACATTGGGAAATACTGCTGGGGAGTCCAGTAAGGTCTTGACACTGCACTGGACTTAATTCAGTGGTTGATCAGCAGGATAGGCTGTGACAGGCTCTTGGGATTGTCCCTGAATTTCATGGTGGTCCTTTGGGAGTGTCTATGGGATGTTCACTCAGCCTGTCCCAATACTCACTAACATGCTCTATAGCAATAGGTTTGCTTGTGGAGAGCATTTGTTATGGTTAAGGATCTAAAATGTCCCCCAAAGTCTCATGTGTTCAGAAGTGGGACATTTGAAAGGTGATTGGATAATGGGAGTGCTACACTTATCAGGAGATTAATCCAGTGGTCCCCAACCTTTTGTGCACCAGGAACCAATTTCATGGAAGATTGGGGTGGAGCTTTGGGATGATTCAAGCACATTACATTTATTGTGTACTTTATTTATATTATTACTACACTGTGTACTTTTTTTCTATTATTATTGCATTAGATTTTCACAAAGTGTGCTCGCCCCAGGTCCTTCACATGTGCAGTTTATAGCAAGGTTCAAGTTCCTATGAGAATCTAACACTGCAGGACAGAAGTAGCTTCGGACATACACTTATCTCCTGCCATAAGCCCTAGTTCCTAACAGGCCACAGAATAGTACTGGTCCATGGCCTGAGGGTTGGGAACCCTTGGATTAATCCACTGATGAATTCACAGCTGAATTTGCTTTTAGGAGTTGGGCCAGGCTGGGAGGACTTGGAAGGGTGTATTCTTTTCCTGGGCTCCTTCCTTCTCTCTCTCTCTCCCTGTCTGCTTCCTGGCTGCCCTGGGTTGAGCAGCTTTCCTCCACCATGGCTTCCTACCACACTGCTTCCGCATTGGAGCCAGTCAGTGATGGACTGAACCTCTGAAACCACGAGTCAAAATGAACCGCTCCTGATTTAAATTTTGGGCATTGGGCAGTGTGACGAAAGCTGGCTAATACAGAACTTAAGATCCTAGTTTTCCCCTAGAAAACTACAAAATTCTTTCAGTTGAAATTCTTGACAGGCAAAATGGAGCTCTCAGTTAATGTACAGCCTCACAACCCCATCATATTTTAAATAGAATTTCTTTTTAAAAAGACCAAATAATAAAAGTTAGCAATTCTACCTTAGATAGAGTGCTTATAAAAATGCACAAGGAATTTTGTAGATATTGTATATATAAGGTCAAGGTAAGATTGAATGACTAATGGAGAGAAACAAACACCTTAAGAAATGATGGAAAGAAGTCAAACTTTACCCTTATTTCAGTATTTATGTCCCTATTGCCTAGAGGATGGTGTGAGAGGTCTTACTTCTTTTTTTTTTTTTTTGGTACCAGGGATCAAACTCAGGTCCTTGCGCTTGCGCAGCAGGTGGCGAAACGACTGAGCTAAATCCCTGGCCAAGAGGTCTTAGTTCTTTAGGAAAGTAGTATATGATACACACACACACACATATTTACACTGATCAACCTTATAAAATTTGAGGAGTTTTAAAGATTTGTTTTCCAAAAGTCTGAAAAATGAATACTAACACTATCAGCTAAAGAGAAAGACAATTTATGACATAAACAGTGCATACCCAACTGGCCCAGCTACCTGAGTCATCTCTTGAACTCTGCCACTGTTCTAAGGTTGCATTTGGTTTCTGCTTTGGGCTGTGTTTTATTATGAAGCCTTTTGCTAAAGTACAGAGCACAAATTAAATTTTTGGTCAATAATAATATAATGTGCAATAATCCAAGACCATTAATATGGTATGCTTAGCTAGAAATGCTGTCTAGAAAAAAATTACTTTTCAAAGTTGCAGGTTGACTCTTGTTACCACTGTGGGCCCCAAAATGTCCCATTCCTGACTTCCAGCTTCTGTAAGGCATTTTTGGGGTTGATTATAGTTAACAACTTTGGACAAAAATCAAGAAGCTTATTTCACAATAAAACCTAACTAATTCATTAGAGTAACTGGGCTTGTTTGTATCTTAAGTCAGACATAGGGAAAATGTTAACAGAAATTTTAAAATAACTTTTCATTGACTTAAAAATAGTTTAAACATATGCTATGAAATCGTTTCTAAGAAAAGCAAACTAGCTTTGTAAAAATGCAAGTATAAAAATTAACATTAAGTAACTTAATATTAAGTCCTTTACCTTTCAGGAATTTCTAAACATTCAAGGTATTTGTACTTTATGTTGAATGTTATACCTGAACTCCTGATTTATTTATTTTTATTTATTATTATTATTTTTTGCAGTACCAAGGATTGAACTGAGGACCTTGGGCTTGCGAGGCAGGCGAGGTGCCACTTAGCTAAATCCCCGGCCCCCATGAACTCCTTATTTATAAAGAAGACCATCAATACTTGCAGATAAAGACATTGGTTTCTCTACAGAAACACTAGAATGAAGCTATATGTTTAAATTTGTCTAGTACAGTTTTATTTGTCACCAGAATTAGGATTAAATTAACTGCCTATAAATAAGAGAATGCTGAAATGAATGATAGTATATACTCCTATGGAACACTAGCCATTGAATAAAGTAAGATAGATTTACAAGTACTAATAAAGGAGAAATGTCTATGATGTTTCTTCATTTTTTTTTTTTTTGGTACTAGGGATTGAACTCAGATCCTTGCGCCTTCGAGACAGGTGGTAGAACCACTGAACTAAAATCCCCGGCCCTCTTCAGTTTTTTGTTGGGTTTTTTTTTTTGGTACTAGGGATCAAACTCAGGTCCTTAGGGTTTCGAGGCAGGCATCAGAACCACTGAGCTAGATTCCCCAGCCCAGTTTTGTTTTGCTTTTTTTAAGTGCTGGTAATTCCAGCACTCTGGAAGGCTGAGGCAGGAGGATTGCAAGTTTGACCCTAGCCTGGGAAACTTAGCAATTTAGTGAGACTGCCTTATAAAGAAAGAGAGAGAGAGAGAAAGAAGGAAAGAAATGGGCTGAAGATTTAGCTCTGTGTGAAGGCTCTGGGTTCAATCTCCAGTACCCCTCATCCCCCTAAAAAACAAATTGTAGGACATTATAGCATGAGCCACTTTACATAAACACCAAAACAATAAAGCCTACATGTATATATTGAATATATTTGTAAATGCACAGAGAAAGATCTGGAAAGAAACCCTGCCAACATTAATAGGGTTTAACTCTTGGGATGAGAAAGTGAATAGAGACTTTTACTCTAGACTTCTTTCTTGTTTGTTTGGGTTTTTTACTAGGGAACATGCATAAATATTGTAATTTAAAACATTTCAAAAAGGAATGAATCAAAATCGGTAATAATAACATATAGTGTCTCTGTTTATGTATTCTTTGTTTAACAATATCTCATTTTATTCCTAACACTTTAACAGTTTATTATTTATAGCTAACAGGCTTTGGTAAAAATTTCTTAGTCCAGACATGGTGATGGGGTGTTTCTTTGGGGCTCGGTCATGGCGCCCTCTTGTGACCAGTGAGACGATGTCAGCCTGGGCTGCTGAGAGCAGAGGATGGCCCAGTGGGGAAAGGTGGAAATGGCGGTGGTCAGGGTGGGAAATCAGATGGAAGCCAGTGCTTCCCAAAGGGGACGCTTAGGAACTTCTCGAATGTCCTCGCTGACTACTTACAGAAGTTGTTATCTGATCAATCGTTGCTCAATCCTGGTGAATTTTACTGGCCGGAGGTGCTCCGGCTTACTGGCTGAGAGATACTCTCAAGTGGCATCTTTTCTCGGGTCATTTAGGAGTTGTTTTCAAGTATGACTGGGTTTCATGGGACACTGATAGGAGTGGGCAAGCTAGGGAAGGAGGATGTGTGGGACAGGAGAGGGCCTGATGCTTCATAAAGAGCCAGCCATGAAAACTGGGGGAGAAATGGAAAAGCGACCAGCTAGAAGATGGCAGGCAATGTATACAGACAGCAAGGGCTGGTGCAAATTGGGAGGATCAGGGACACGTTTTCATGGGTAACCAAATTCTACCAGCAAAGTGACTTTAAACACACTGTTCTTTCTTTCTTATTCTAAAGGCTTAAAATGGCAATAAAGTACTTTAAATCAACACCTACAAAGTGGAATCATTATAGAGTCTCTACAGAATTCTTCTAAGTAGGCATTTCTTTATGTGTGTATGTGTTTATTTATTCATGCTGGGGATGGAAGCCAGGGCCTCAAACACAGTTGGTAAGTGCTATATCACTGTTCTACATCCCCAAGCCTAAGTTACACTATTAAGTTTCTACTTAGGGGGCTGGAGGAACAGCTGAGATTTACAGCGCTTAGCATGTAGAAGGCCCTGACTTCCAACCCTAGTACTGCTAAATAAGTAAGTAAGTAAATAAAAAAATGTATATAACCTACATCAGTGATGGCGAACCTGTTAGAGCTTTCAATGATAACAAACAGCCGGCTGCATCACACATCCCATAGATTCTCCACCAGTGAGCTACATGAATATTTTAGCCGTTAAAGAATCCCCCTCAAAGGCCACCCACAATAATTCTTACCTGAAGAAGGGGAAGGCTTTGGAAGTGTGGAAGGTGATGGACAAGGTCCGGGCACTGAAGCTTGCACAGTGAGATTAAGGTTGAAGGTTCCATTGAGCACGTAGGTGTGATTCAAAGTGTGATTGTTAGAAACAAACAGGCCGGTGTTGTCCCCAAAGTTCCACTTGTAGAAAATGGAAGACTCATTGAGGAAGTGGCTGGGATCATGAATCAGGACGTCAAATATAATGGGGAGGTCTCTGAGAAAGGTTTCATCAGACACATTTCGATCATTCTTCTGGAACATGGTCACAAATATAGGAATCTGATCTAAAGAGATACATCACAAAAAGAAAAAAGAATGCTTCATTTTAAGCAAGGGGCTACAATAATTTTTAGGTTAAAAAATAAAATCAGAGCTAACCAGCATCAAGTTTTCCTTTTATATGCAAGTTTTCTAGAGCTTCCAATAGCTATTCTAGAAAACAGATAGTATACAACAATTAAATACATGAGCTTGGGCCAGGGCCCAAATGACTCATAACCTAACCCAGAACACTTGGCCCTAATTCTTTCTTAAAGTGCTAAGGTCAACAGAAAGAAATGCTTCATCCTCAGTTAATTTAGAGCTCACACCACGCACCTGTTAACACGTACACATCTCTAACTTGTGCGATAGGAATGTATGCCCAGCCGTGTCTTCTGTAGACAGTCACCTCCATGACCTGAGGGCCAAGTGTCAGGTTGGCTGTGTTCATAGACATTCTTACCGAACACCGTCCCAGTTTCTGGAAATACTGACCTTTGAGAGGATGGAGATTTTTAGTTACTGGCAATATGACATGATCATTAAAGATGCTATTTCTTAAAGACTAGTGACAATTTAGAGATTGCTCTGAGGAGAGAAAACAGGATGAGACTATAGTGCTGTTTCACAAGAGAGACAGGGAAATAGTGCTGATTTTCATGTAAAACTTTATAAACCAAATCCACAGTTATATAACTGCATATAGTTGGTTAAGATGAAATATCTATTTATTGGGATAATTCATTTAGTCCTGACTTTACAAATAAATACTTCATATAAGTTAAGTGATTTGGCATTTGGGTTTTAAAAATTAATTTTATTGGTACATTTAGGTATACAATATAATGACATTCATCACTGGAAATTTGCACCTGTACGTAATCTCTCTTGGTTCTTATTTTTCCCCATTTCCCTGCCCCCTTCAACCCCTCCATCCCTCTCTATTTACAAATACTTTGTTTCCAGTTTTTCATTTTCTCATATTAATTCCATTCCCTTCTTTCCTTTCCCTTAACCCTCCCATTTCCCCTTCCCCTTTGCCCCTTTTCTTCCTATTTCACATTATCTATTACACCTTTTAGTCCTTATTTACACTTTCAGTTTCTCACACCAGAAAACCTATTCAGCATTTAAGCATGTGCGTCCTATTTATTTCACTTAAGAGTATGGCCTCAATGTGCATCCATTTAGCTATAAATGTCTCTAATGTGATTTGGCATTTGAAGCACAGATTTTCCCTACAGAAAATTCATTTAATGTAATAATATCCAAGAGAATTAAAAAATTATCTAAAATGTATCTTATTTTTGTAACAATATGACTACAACTTTATTGTTAAGCAGATTTCTTTAAAAGGATTGGAATCCCCCACCTTCTAATAGTATTTGGGTATAAAAATACAGAAAGCAATGGAAGAGAAATATGGTATGACGGATATACAAGGGAATGGAGTGGTCCCATAAACACATTTCTAGGGTGACTTTGAGTTGTTCCTTTTTTTCTCCAGTCCTCAAACTAACTGCCACTGGCTGCAAGTGAAAGCAATTCTTCTTCAGGGCTCCAGGACTTTTCTAATCTGATCATGGTGCCTGACACAGCCAGTGAGATGCATGCTTGTGAGACCAGGATGTTTAAATGTTCATTGCACAGTTGAACATGTGAGAAAAACACCCCAGTCTTGGGTCGGGGTGTAATTTGAAATGGCCCCTCCCCTTGAGATGCAAGGGCAGTTCTGCAGAGGCTGCAGGGGAAGTGGGGTCTCTGTGGGTAGTTACACATGAGGGCAGTGTGAGTCCCAGTGCTGAGAGCTGAGGCCACACAGTGGAGGGAGAACATCACTTAACCCTGAGACCAGGGCAAAAGATGGAAACACAAGGCAGTCTCATTAGAAAGGTAGGGCAATTTCTAGGCTGAAGGCTGACTTTTAAATAAAGACATCTGACCTGGTTAGGTTAATGCAACTTTAACTAAGCAAAAAAGCCTCAGGAGCGGCAGTGAACATGAATGATTCACTGGAAACTGTCAGGAGCGTCGTGGGAATGACAGGCCAAGGAAATCATATTTGGTAAGGTGACTGGAAGGGCCATGATGCACTGGGCAAAAGTCAGCCTTACAGAAATTGATTTAACTAGATGGGCATAATATTTGACATATTTTGTACTTTGTTCAATGGGGATGTATTGTTAATGTTTTATTTTGATGTGTGAGTAAGCTCACTGAAGAAAAAGGAGCTCACTCTAATTTCTGATTTAGAAATCTGGAGACAGATCAGATGTTAGTTTCTTTTTTGGTACCGGGGATCAAACTTGGGACCTTATGCTTGTGAGGCAGGCACCAGAACCACTAAGGTAAATCACCGGCCCTGAGTTGTTAGTTTTCAAATACTCATCACCAAGTGGCCCTGGTCACGTTTTAAGCTAAGAATTTAGCAGCCTTGCTAATAATAACTCAAATATGCTTCTTCTAAAATAACCACTTCATCAAAAATAAGGTAAATGCCATTTATAGTTTAAAAAGAGAGAGGGTAAGCTATATCAAGGAAGAGTAGTTAGATTATTTTATTTCTACACAACGGAATACTGTATTATGCAACCATTAAACTCATGTAAATAATTTTTGATGACATAGTCAAGTGCTGCATGATAGTAAGCAAGAAGTGTAATATATTATGATTGTATCCAAGAAACATTAATATTGAATTCTAATGTTAATGGTGATCATCTGTGCTGTTAAATTTGGATGATTTTTATTTTTTTGTGTGTGCTTTTCTGCATTTTCCAAATTTCCTACAAGGAACATACATTTCTTTATTTCCTAAACATTCCTTTGAGAAGATTAAAGATTAAGAGTAAATGCCTATCCAGGTGCCATCCAAATAAATGTTATTTTTTCATATTACTGTTTTAGAGACAAAATTGGGCAATTTGTTTTTTAAAAAGAGAGCTGAAGCTATTTCTTCTCCTTCTCCTCCTCCTTCTTCCTCTTTTTTTTTTTTTCTCGATTTTAATTCTTTAGTATCCCGGAGATCTTCAGGATTTCATTTTGCTTTTTCCATGTCCAGTAAGCTAAACTCTGGGGGTTAAATTCCAATTCTAAGATAAGAAAAGAGGAAGTTAAAAGTATAAAGAAAAGTAAAAAAGAGACCAAGAGAGGTTTTAAAAATCTAACCAAGCGTGTGAAAGACGTAGACAAAATTCCACTTCCTCCACCCGTGGGGGCGGGGGAACGGCTTGCCGTCGGGGAACACGTGGTGGCCGTCGGGGCCGGGGCCCCAGTCGCTGTCCTCTGACCAGGCTGCTGTCCAGTTGTAAACGTACAGGTCCGGAGACAGTCTAGAGTCTAAACAGAGAAAGAAACAAGGCACCATTGTCATCTGGGTGCCAAATGCCCGGGGCTCATCACTGAATTAAACACTTCTTACATTTTCTCATAACTAGTTTAAAAGTTGTTATGGGACTAAAAATCTAACATTCAGAATTCACCCAGTGGTATGCTTCCGACTTGTATGCTTTTTGGCATATTATGCTATATTTCAATAAAAATATTTTATCAAGAGATTTTCGGGAAAGTTTATGTGCAGCTTTCACTTAATACATTTATCTTCCAATTGGGCCTTCCAATCCCAGCCCCTGTCAAACCAAACTTCGTACGCAGGTGATCGCTCAGTGAGCTCACTCAGGTGTGGGGGTTTTTCCTGTCTCATTTGAGCCATGACTCTGTTCCCCAGGACTTCAGCACAAGAACGCCCTGAGAATACAGGCATCTCCCCCATAATCACACAGCAGTGCCATTCTGGTCGGGTCTGCACGGCACATTTGTTCATACTGTATGCACCGTTTGTCTCTTCAAATTAACCAAAGAAAAGAATCAACTTCTCTCCCCCCTCGCTCTTTCTTCCCCATGTATGGTATTTCCCAATTTAAACAAGCCATGATCAAGAGAATTTCATCTAGAAGTTCCTTCATTTTTTAATTTTTTTATGTCACTGAATTTTCCCCTTTGGGATTAGAGATTGAGCCCAGAGCCCTTCCACTGGGCTACATCCTCATTCCCTCTCCTCTTTTTTGGGGGGGGGGGTACTGGGGATCGAACTCCAGACCTTGCGCTTGCAAGGCAGGCACTGGAACCACTGAGCTAAACCCCCGGGCCCTCCTCTTTTAATTTTTGAGACAGGGTCTCACTAAGTTGCCCAGGTGGGACCTCAGAGTGATCCTCTCGCCTCAGCCTCCCTTAGTACTGGGATAGCAATGATATTTTTGAAGAGCCTTTCTATTTATCAAGCTATTAGTTACTAAGCCTTATTACACTCAGATTGTCCTGAGTACGGTCAATAGAAGCTCCTTCAAGCTACGGTCAGTGTTCTTCCGACAAAACCTTATTAGTCTTTGAACTTTTTCTTGTTCTCTGGCACAATAAGAAGTCTAGGGCTCACCTGGTACTTTCTTGTCCTAGACATGGAATCAGTCATTTCTTCAAAGATCTCAAGTTTTAGTGATGACAGATTTTTAAAAAATTTATTTCTATTCGTATCAGTACACATTTGCAGGATCTAACAATACATTCTCCCCGGGGAGATGGTTTATGTGCACATCACATCTCTTTCCATCCCCTTCCTTGCATCTCCCTCCTCAGTGATATAGATATTTATAAAAATTTTTCATAAAATGGATTATTTCACATACAAGTGCTCAGAGGATTAGATTGTCATTTTAGAACTTTGTAAGAATCAGCTTTGTTAAAAAGAAGGGAAAACACTACAAAATAATAAATAATTAACACCCTTTAAATATTAGACATGCTATCTGAACAGAATTAATGTTTTCCTCTCGGTTGATAAAAATGAGTAAGGAATAAGCACATCAACAATTTAATAAAAGTTCTAAATAATCAGATCATAAGTGGACTAAATATCTTGGTCACTGAAGAATCTCAGTAAATAGCTCTTTTATGCTGTGTAGGACTCTAATTTCTTTGATGTTTCTGTGCTTTTTAAATTAACATATACAAAGAGCTTATCTCTTTAAGAGCAAAGCAAGGGGCTGGAGATTTAGCTCAGTGGTTCCACTGCTTGCCTTGCAAGCGCAAGGATCTGAGTTTGATCCCCAGTACCAAAAAACAAAAACAAAAAAGAGAAAAGCAAAACCAAAATGTACACATTTTAGTATTTGTACCAACCACACAGCATTTGCTTAATACTGGCCAGCAGAAATTAAATTGATCAGCAAACATTTGTCAGATTGGCCATTCTTTTTTGTGTGTGTGTAGTATTGGGGATTAAACTAAAGGATGCTCTACCACTGAGCTACAGCCACCCTCCCCTTTACATTTTGAGACAAGTTCTTGATAAATTGCCCAGGCTGGGCTCTAGTTTGAGATTCTCCTACCTCAGCCTCCTGAATAGCTAGGATTACAGTGTGTCCCACCACACTCAGTTTAAGTTGGCTATTCTCTGAATACCCAAAGAGGTTTTGATATTATTATTATTATATTATTATTAATATTATTATTATTATTTTTGGTACCGGGGATTGAACTCGGGTCCTTGTGCTTGCGCACCAGGTGGCGAAACCACTGAGCTAAATCCCCGGCCCAAGGTTTTGATTTTACTAAAATCTAAATACGAAAATCAACAAGGTATTCTCTGTCCAATGAATTGGGTACTAAGGAAAGGCTGTGTGTGACAGTGTTGCTTATAAAAGGGTCCAGACAGTGAAGTGGGTTTGGCTGACGCTGATATTGATGAGGGGCTAGGCGGGACCACACACTCCCCATCCCTATCACCTATCTTGACAAGCAAGGTGAGGGGTCCATCGAAGCATTTTGCACTTACAGAAACACCCATAAGCCGTGAGGCTTAGGCGACAGGTCTCCAGTAGTTTAGGAGAACCACTGAGTCCTTACCGTTTCTGCAGTTCTTCTCATAGACTATGTTGCCATTGGCATCTTCCTTTTGGCATCTGGGGAACACGAGGTTCACTGCAAATGTGATGTTTGAGCCCACCAGTGCTGGGGAATTACTGGTCAGGACCGCTTGCACATGGCCTCCTAGGGTAACAAAAAGTGGCAGTAACTGATCCACTATTGCTGTCTCTGTCTCTTTTGAGACAAGGTCTTGATATGCAGTTCAGGCTGGGCTTGAACTCACTATATAGCCTAGGCTGGCGGAGCTCCTCCTGCCTCAGCCTCCCGAGTGCTGGGATTACAGGCGTGTGCCACCACCCAGCCTCAACTATCTCTTTTTCCTTTCACACATAAATATACATTTAAAGTAAAGTCAAACCTACTAAAATACCTCTTTGTGGTACACTTAAATTTATTTTCTAGATGCCTAACTTTAGATTTCAGAGTACAACATTCTAGAGGGTGAACAAAAAAAGTCAGACTAAAGAATTATCTAACCACAGAAAGAACATTCATTTAAAATAATTTTTAAAATTCTGCTCAATTGGTTTGAGGAGACAAATGTTAAAAGTTTTTGTTGTTGTTGTTTCTTTTTGGGGTTTTTTTTTGTTGGTGCCGGGGATCTAACTCGGGTCCTTGCGCTTGCGAAGCAGCCGGCGAAACCACTGAGCTAAATCCCTGGCCCTAAAAGTTTGTAATGTTAAATCTTAAAACACAATGGCTAAAGGATTCATTTCTTTATCTTTTTTTTTTTTTGGTATCAGGGATCAAACTTGGGACCTTGCACTTTCAAGGCAGGCAGCAGAACCACTGAGCTAAATCCCCAGCCCTCATTCCTTTATCTTAATGGAAAGATATCTAAGATATTTTCTGATAAAGTACACTTTTTTTTTTCAGTGCTGGGGCTTGAACCCAGGACCTTGTGGTACATCTTAGGTATACAATGCAGTTACATCCATCATTGGGATCTTGTACCTTTATATGATGTATCTTGGTTCTTCTTTTTTTCTCCTTCCCCTGCCCTCCCTTCATCTCCTCCACCCCTCCATATTTGCAAAGACTTTGTTACCATTTTTTCCTTTTCTCATATTTTTTCCTTTCCCTTCTTTCCTTTCCCCTACCCCTCCCACTTCCCCTGCTCCTTTAGACATTTTCTTCCTATTATCCAGGACCTTGTGAATGCTGGGCAAGTGTTCTATCACTGAGGTCCATCCCCAGCTCTTTTAAGATTTGATTTTGAGTCAGGGTCTTACTAAGTTGGCCAGGTTTGCCTTGAACTTGTAAACTTTCTGCCTCAGCCTCCCCGGTAATAGGATTACAGGTGTTATGCCTTGTGTCTAGATAGCCTCCATAGAGCCTCATAGATGGGGCTTTTTCAGAGGTGGCTGGATCTAGAGTGTGTGATCAATTCATGATACAATGTTAGGCTCAAGGGCACTAGGATTAGGGGTGTGAGTGTTACCTGCCCTAAGTAGCCAGGATAAGATAAAGAGGACAGAAAGATGTTGTTAAGGCCCCTTTTGCTTGCCTTGCTACCTTCCGGGTGTCATGAACTGTTACTTCTCTGGGATGCCCCTCTGCCATGTGCCCTCTGCCTTGCAGCCAGCCAACTCTGAACTGAAACCTCTACAAACTGTGAGCCAAACAAACTTTTCCCCCTTTAACTTTGGGTGTCCAGTATTTTGTCTCAGCAACAAGAAAAGTAAGGACAACAGGTATGTGTCACTGTCACCCTGCCTTGCTTCAACCACACTTTTTTTGTGGTACTGCGGATCAAACTCAGGACCTTGCACTTGCAAGGCAGGTGCAGTGCCACTGACATTAATCCCTAGCCCATCCACACTTTTGAAATAATCAAAAACCTTTTCAGTGTCACAGGTCTTCCAAAGGTTACCGTTCTCATGTTAAGTAAGGTTGAGGCTAAACTTGCTTGCTCTCCAAAATATTCCAAGGGCTATGAACTTTGAATTTTCTAAGAAGATTAAAGATTATTTTATGACTTAAAAAGTGATAATGTTGGGGTAAAAGACAGACTGCCAAATCTAGGTACCACTCACTTGGCAGCCGCAGCACTACCATTCACGAAAACAACAGCAGGAGACCTAAAAAGCTCTATCATCCATGAGACTTACTGAAGTAGGAAACCACAGTTGTTTGGGTCAAATCTTTTGATTTACCTTTCCAGGAGCTTTTCCACCTTGGATCTCCTCTCTTCCACACTGGATAGAGTTTTTCATCCCAGTCATTTTCATCAGAAGACCAGCCATGTAACTGGTTGTGCTCCCGCATATAACCAGGATACCTTTCATTGCCCAGCACATCATGAAACCCTATGTCAGTATTGGAAAGACAAATTATTTTGTCTATTCAATTTCTCGTTTCCTTCTTACACAACAATGGTCAAAGAAGCTTTGTTGGAAAACAACACATAATATATCCAATACAACAAATAAATAGACAATGCTTTTAAACAAGTCTCCTAGAAATATCTTGACTATAGCATCTGGAACCTATCTCTTATGTACTTTAAAAAAAGAATAAAAACATTTTTTGAAAGCCAAAATTTTGCAATCATCACTTGGCTTCTCAGTGTCCTCTGAATATTTGGATTTGGTACAATATCATTAAGAAAAACTCCAATGCCAATGTTCTTCGTAGTAATTTTAGCATCTTTTTTCAGTCTGAACTACTCTGTTGGCTGAAGAAATGCCAGGCCTAGGAATTCTAAGAGACACACACTAGTACTGGAGATCCCACTCTGGAACAATGCCCAGAATATGATCTGTCTTGGGGAATGTTCCATATGCATTTTTTGTTTTTTTGTATCAGGGGATCTAACTCAGGACCTTGTGCTTGTGAGGCAGTTGTGGTGCTACTGAGCTAAATCCCCAGCCCCCATATGCAATTTTGTAGTCCATATTTTTTGGGTAGAGTTTGGGCTGGGGGTGTAGAAGTGGTAGGGTGTTTACCTAGTATGTGCAAGACCCTCCATTCAATCTCTACTACAGGAGGAAAAATAGTCATTTGTGTTTAGTTGATAGTGTTTTTCAAATTTTCTATATACATATGGATTTTCTATCTACTCATTATTTATTTCAATTCCCGAGAGAGGAATCTTGAAATCTCCAACTAAAATTATACATTTGCCAATTTGCTTATTTCTGCTTCCAGTTCTGACAGTTTTTGCTTTATGTATTTTGAAGCTCTGTTGTTAGGTGTGTATGCACTTAGAATTATTGTCTTCTTGATGAATTGGTTCCTTTCTCTTTAGGAATTGACTTTCTTTACCCCTGGTAATATTCCTTCTTCTGAAGAAAAATCTGGTATTAATGATTAGTCTTTAATTGGTAATTAGTCTTTTTTCCATTTTTTTTTTTTACTTTTACCTTGTGTTCATCTTTATATTTGAAGTAGATTTTTTGTAGATAGGATATAGATGGTTGTGTTTTTTAAATCTAGTCTGACAGTCTCTATTTTTTATTTGAAGTGTTTAGATAATTTATATTTAATATAATTACAAGTATTGTGGGATTCAAGTCTACAATCTTGTTTTCTTTTTGTCTCATCTATTTTTCTCTTCTTTCTTCTTTTCCTGTACTGTTTTGAATCATATTTGGATTCCATTTTATTTCCACTACTGGCTTATTGCTATACCTCTTCATCTTGTTTTACTTTGAATGGTTTGCTCTGAAAAAGAGTTTATAATATTATAATTCTTTCTAGTCTTGAATTGCTATCTTTCTTTTCACTTTGCCTGACAATCCTGGTGGTCATGTGGTTTCTACTTTCTTTGAAAATTATAGCAGATTGGTTGATTGCCTGCCTAGCCTGAATTCTTTTTTTCCCTTGCTGGCAGAGCCTCTGTTATAACCGATCAAAATCCCAGAGATCTAGCTCAAACTTTCCTTACCACTTGGGCAGGAGTAAATGATTAAATCCTGGCCAGTGAGATCTGAGAGGAAGACTTCTGGGAGCTTCTGGGAAAAGTTCTCCTCCTTTTTAAGAAAGAAGCAACTAAGAAAAAACTCCATTTTTTTCCTTTTCAGAATTGATTTGGGAGACGACAGTATAATGAGATGATATCTGGACCTGTGACAGTCATATTTAGCTATGAGGACACAAATCTGAGGAAATAGCTAACATATCAAGGTTATCAGAGAAGAAAGCTGCAAAAGAAACAGAGTCCTGGATGACACTGCTGAGCCATTGCTCTAATTCTGCCTGCTTCTGGACTGATTGCTTGAGATAATAAGTGTCTTAACCTATTCTGTTACAGCCAAAAGCTAATTGTCTATAACCCTCAGTTCCTAGTCACAATGCTGTCTTAAAATGCTCTCTCTCAAAAAAAAATGCTCTCTCACCCATTTATATTATAGGTCCTATGTCTTGGCACAGCCACGAATTTAGAGGTCAGAAAAATCTGTCTTCTTCTCTTAAATCTTGGGAGAGGCCTTCTTCAAGGAGTGGCATTTAATGAGTGTTCAGAAGAGCCTAGTTGAATGCCTGACACTAGTCTCTGTCTTCTGTTCCTCTTATCAGGTAGGGGCAGGGAGCAGCAGATGGAACTAGGGGGAACATTGAACTGGGATTCATGGGACCTTAGTTCTGTTGCTAAGCAAGCTATCTGGCCTCAGGCCATTGTTTTCTCTGAGCCTTCAAATCAGACAAAACCCAAATGTCCTGTGATTCTGTTCCTATTTGGAAAGAGATACTAAATAAGGACAGGAAATTTATATTTATCAATAAATGTTTATAACTGGAAATTCAATTTGGATTGAATCATGTGGAAAGAGCTCAGATTATTTAGCTCAAACCCCTTCACTTCATAGATGGACAACTCAGTCCTAAGAGAGTGGTGTGAGTCACGTCTAGAGTCATCTTTAACCTGGAGGAGATGAAGATTCACACCTTTTAATTCCCAGGCTTTCCATTGTTCCAGAGAATCTTCTTCCTTACAACCTGAGAGAAAGTTGGTGTTTCCAGAAATGTAATCAAAACACAGATTTCTCCTCTGCTTTTAAATGTCAGAAGTCAAGGAAAAATATAAACTTAAAAAGAGAGTAGCATGGGACAGACACAGATCAATGGGATAGAACAGAGAATCCGGAAATAGATATGTGCCAGTATGCTCTACTGATTCTTGACAAAAGGGCAAAAATAATCCAGTGATGAAAGGTAGACTCTTCCACAAAAGATGCTGTAAAAAAGTAATAAGCATAGGTAAAATCTGAAGGATTTAGAGTTAGATAAGAAGGCTTAGACCTGACATCAAAGGTATAATCCATAAAAGGAAAAACCAATGCAGTATATTGGATCTTAGTAAAATAATGCTTTACTCTGTAAAACTGCATGAGAAGAGGATGAAAAGGAGCGCTACAGACTAGGACAAATTATTTGCACATCACATTTCCAATAGAGGACTAGTATCAAAAATACATAAAGAATTTCCAAAATTCACCATTACAAAATAATAATAAAGCATCCGATGAGAAAATAGGTAAAAGAAATGTATCATCAAAAAGGATTTACAGATGGCAAAAGAACACATGAGAGGATATTCAACATCATTAACCAGTAGGGAAATGCACAGCAAAAATCACAGTGAAATATCCCTATAGATCTCTCAGTGTGACCCCAATGAGAACTAGTGACAGTACTAAATGCAGCTAAAGATGTAGAGAGAAACTGTGTCACTCATATACATTGCTGGTGGGAATGTAAACTGGTACAGCCACTTTTGGGTTTTTTGGTAAAACACAACATGCAACTACCATACGACCAAATCACTGTATTCTTTGGCATGCATCCCAGAGAAATAGACCTTATGTTCACAAAAATCTGTACATGAATATTTGTAGTGCTATACCCTATTAGCCCAAATTGGAATAATCCAGATGTCCTTCAATGGTGAATGGATGAACAGTGGCACATCCACACCGGCATAGTACTCAGCAACAAAAAGAAACAAACTATTGATGCAGCAACTTCAACGAATCTCCAGAGAATTAAGCTAAAAAACCCGCCAACACCAAATGGTTACATGCTATATAATCCCTTTGTGTCAAATTCCAGAAATAACATTATAAAAATGGAGAGCTAATTTGTGGTTGCCAGGGGCTGGGAGGCAGCAGAGTAGGAGTTGGTTTAGCTGTAAATGGACAAGAGAATCCTTGTGATAATGGAACTACTTTGTATTTTAACCGAATCAGTGCCAGTAGTGTATCTTGGTTGTGATATCATGTTTAGCATTACGTTACCACCGGGGCAAACTGGGTAAAGGGGATCTTTCTGCATTATTTCTTACAATTTCATGTGAATCGACAATTACCCTCACAATAAAAGCTAAATTTAAAAATAAAATTAGTGCACTAGTAAGTAGATATTAAAAGAAAAATGTGTGTGTGTGTGCGCGTGTGTGAATGTGTGCATGGTGGAGGGAGACATGGAGGTAAAAGTGGAATTGCATCTCTGAGGCTGTGGTCTGCGCCCGGGACTCCCAGCTCTGGCCTACAGCAGAAAGCGGATGGCGGGGCTGCCAGACACCTCCTTCAACGCCTTCTGCCTTCTTTTTACCAGGGCTGACTGCACGTGGCTAGAAATCCCTTGGTGTTTAACTCACTGGTAAATCCCACCTGCTCCCATATCTTCTGGCCAGAATACTTAGGGCAAGACGAACCCGGGAATGCTTATTACACGGCCTGGTAGGCTTGGACTCTTTCCCCAGCAGGCTGACTCAGCGCTGCAGGCGGAAGGCTGGGGCGAGGCGCGGGCTCCAAGGCCCTGCGTCCCTCTCGGTCTCTCCGGCTGCAGACCTTTGGTAGTCTGTCCAGGGAGGGGCACGGGCGGGGAGAGGTCTGTCGCCTAACAATTCCACGAGTGTCTCCCAGCCAAGCACTCTGGTTAGCCGATTTCACGAGAACTCTTGCTCGGTTTTGCAAATGAGGAAATCCGAGGCTGGCAGGGAGCCCCATCCGCTCTCCACCGCCCCAGGCGAGGCAGCCCTGGAGCTGCACCACCGAGGGCGAAGTCCATGCCCTCTGCGGCTGAACGGGACAGTCCTAGCACCAGGCTTCCCGCGCTCTCCTGGGGCCCAGACACCGAGACGCGTTGCCGGTGCCGCCTGTCCCCGTGTTTGGACCCCCTCCCCACCACCAGTGCCGACCTTCCGCGCCACGGTCACAGTGAAAGTCGTAGGAGATGGGGGAGCCCCTGGCTCGGGGCGCCCGAGTCTGCACCGAAGGGGCACCGGGGACCTCCAATCTCCCTCCCTCCCTCCCTCTCTCTTTCTCCCTCCCTCCCTGCTGCGCACTGGAAGGGCCAGAGGAATTTTAAACAGGGATGCTCTGACCCCACTCCCAAAGTTGCCCGTTTCATTAAGTGCCTCATCCTCTAAAGCATAACCAGTGTAGAGAAGAGCCTGGGCTCTTTTCTCAGTAACCTCACTGTAGCAGCAGCAAGCTCGAGCAGGTCTTTGGAGAAAGTTTATCAGGGTTAGCAAGAGCTTCTGGGTTAGCAGTGCTTCTGGGGCATTTAATGTGAGCTCTCCACCCTGTTGAATGGAAGTCAAAGTTTTGTTGGTAGAATAGCTTTATTCTCTGGATAGAGGCTGTTTTCCTTCCTCCAGCCATTGTTCGGCAAGAGAGTGGCTGGCTACTGCAATGGAAGGCAGCACCACGGGGGCCGTGTGGTTTATGCTTCCCGTGAGCCCAAAGCAAAGAATGTGAGTGGAAGCATTTTGCTATAGTTGCATTTCCAACAGTTGCAGAGGAAGAAATGAGTGTGGCCACTGCGGAGCTTCAGTCCAGTTCTGCACAGAGGACATTAATACCCATCCCTTCAGCCAAGAGCCAGAGAAAGGGAGAAACAGAAGCAGAGTTACTCACGTTTGGTGGAATCAAGGGGCAGTCTTGTAGCCAGCAGCAGAAATCCCAGGATCCTGTGGAGACTTTCCATGCTGAGTTCTCACAAGCCGGGGTTGATCAGGGCTTCCTTCTGTCTAATCCTCAGAGAGCAACAGCAGTCTCCTGGGCTCTGCTGTGCCCCTCTCTGTTTTAATAAAACTCCAGGCCTCAGGGCAGATCATGTGATGGTATTAAGCAGCATTGCCTGATGTGTTCTCTTGAATTTGACCTCTTACAACTCATGTGCTTGTGACTCACTCTCCCTTGGCATCTATTTATTCACTTTTTTTTTTTTAATTTTACAAGTCCACATCTACTAGTTTTAAGGGAATTTTCCTATCCTATGTCCCTAATTTAATTTTCTTTACCAAATAAAAGTTCAATTCTCCAACCTCATTGGTGACGAGTTTACTGTCGTCCCTTTGCTGCTCAGTCTTCCAGCTAATGTGCAGAACATGCATCTTTTCCTGTAATGTGGATGACCCAGTTCTCTGATGCTAGCAAATGTTTGTAGGTTCCGGTCCTTGAGGAGCTAGATGGGGAGGTGTCTCTCCAGTCATCTGAAATTTTGTTACACATATATGGCTTATATATATATATATATCAGAATGTTCTGGCAACAGCAGCACAGTCTTCCAGTAGCTTAGAAATGTACCACATTTAGGATATCTGTGTAATTCCATATAACTTTCAGAACAACCTGTGTAACTTTGGGTAACCACATGCAAAACATTTATGTGTTATCATTCAGGATCAACTGCATAAAACACTGCATATTTATTTCATGGCAAGGAGGCATTAAGGGTGAAAAGACAAACTTGCCTGGAACATTTTGTACAGTTAAATTATTTCTGGTTATAGAGTATTCAGAAAATGTGGCAATATGAACACTTAACTGCATGAAATCTTTCTCTATGGTGTGTCCACATGACTATTTTCAGGGGATTAGAAGTTCTGGTTGGGGGTGAGGTGAAATTTAGGGTACTGATTTATGTTTTAGGTGTATTAATGTGGAATAGAAATTAAATAATCTGTAAAACAAAGTCCATTGAGCAGAACTGGTCAACTTCCTATCCTTAGGCCAAGCAGAGCTGTTTGGAGCTCCTTTTTCAGGCTTTGAAGCAAATATGAAGGGAAAATCCAGGACAGGAACACATTATTTGTGACTACAAAAGAGTTTTAAAATACTGTGTAGGGGGCCAGGGATTTAGCTCAGTGGGTCTGCTGCCTGTCTTGCAAGCACAAGTTCGATCCCCGGTACCAAAAAAAAAAGACCAAAGTTAAATTTTGGCCGGGGATTTCGCTCAGTGGTTTCGCCTCCTGCTGCGCAAGCGCAAGGACCCAAGTTCGACCCCCCCCCCCAAACATACTGTATAAATGAATAATGAAAATATTAGTTTGATGTAAGCAATCTATATAGTTCTGTTTATTTTACAATGTGTGTGATTTTACAATTAAAAAGGTTTTCCGGGCCGGGGATTTAGCTCAGTGGTTTCGCCGCCTGCTGCGCAAGCGCAAGGAGCCGAATTCTATCCCCGGTACCAAAAACAAAACAAAACAAAACAAAAAGGCTTTCCAATTTGGGGACACTTTATTATTTTAAGTATTATTGCCCTTTGTTGCTGGTATGGTTCAGGCTTGTATTTTTGGCCACAATAGCCACCTCTGTCTCTAAAAAATTGCAAGTGTTAAATTCTTTTGTTACAAACCCTTTTTTAAATTTTTATTTTGTTTTTCTAGGGAGATGTGATAATAATTTGTCTTTTATATGTCCTCACCTTCCTGCCCAGTAAGGAGAGGTGGCAATGACTGGGGCAGTAGTCGAGATTGGCTGTTGGATGGAAGTGGACAGAAAACTGTAAATTCTTTCTTTTTGAAATTAATTCTTGATTCCAAGGAACTGTGAATTGGACAACCTGTCTCTTTTTAATCAGCAGACGGCAATATATAAAGTAGTTTATTTTGTGTTGTTCCTTGAGACAAAGCTATTTGGGATAAAGAATATATCTTGTTTGTTTTGATTTTGAAAAATGAAAATCAGAACTGTGAAAAAAGTTTGAAGCAATTCATTGAAAGAAGTGAAACATCTCAATTATTTGGGTTTACAGAGATGATTACTCTATTAAAAATGACATTGAGGAAGGCAAGTAATAGTTGTTTTTTGAGAAACGTTCCTAACTGCCTCTAAGCATCTTGATTTTATCCCGACATGAGGACCAGTATGTGAGACATAATGAGAGCAGCAGCTCCCCAAGGGGATGTGTGGAGTGGCAGGCAGCTACCACACTCAGGAATCATGGCAGGCTGCAGCAGAATTAATATTTTTAGTTTTAGAAATTGCTCCCAATGAGTGTTTTTAAGTGAGGTCATAAAAATTAGCTATAGTCCCTTCCCTACCTCTTGTAAACAGCTCCTGTACTTATTTTGTACAGCAGCTATAAGAAATCACCAGAAACTCAGAGTCTTAAAATAACATAGATTTTTTTTATCTTACTTTCCAAAAGTCAAAATTCTGAAATGATTCACACTGGGCTAAAATCAGTATGTCAGCAGCATGGTTCTAGTGACAAATCTGTTTCTTTGTGTTTTCCACCCTCTAGAAGCTTCCCACACTTCCTGGCTTGTGGTCTCCTTCCATTTCCAAAGTCAGCAATGGCTGATTGAGCCTTTCCTGTATCTTATCCCTCTGATACCAATTCTCCTGTCTCCTTTGTTTATTTACAGGATGCTTGTGATTACACTGGACCTACCTGGATGATCTAGAACCATCTCCTATCTTGTCAGTTGATCAGACACCTCCATTTACCTAAAACCTTCCTTCCTCCCCTCCCCTATGGGGAGTTACAGTGTGCACCTCTTTGAGGAGCCATTTTCCTGCCTAGCAGTTATATTATGGTGACTTGGCAGAGAATTTTACTTGTGAAGAAAGGTGGATGATGGAATAATGAAGGAAAGCATGACAGACCCGCTGAAATGAATCCTTTGACATTTGGCAGAGTGGAAAGGTAAGAATAAACCCAAGATAAAGGGATCACTTCAAAGAGAGAGACAGCCCATGTGACTACCTTGTTCTAACGGGGCCTTTCAATGTGTCATAATCAGAGTCACACTTTTCAGATTTAAGCCTTAGCAAATGACTCAGAGACTTCTGTTTCATGTCTAGCTCTTCGGTCTCTCCTGTCTGGGTGCTCTCTGCATGAATGGGTAACCAAATTCCCTTGTTCCCAAGATTTATTAAGCTTTGAAACTGCTTTCCCACCAAAACATTTTCTTTTCAAGAAAAGAGGAGAAAATGGGCCACGTTAGTGCATCCTTTTCAGTCACTTTTGTTGTGGTTTCAGCCTGAAGGAATCAGACACCAGATGCAGGCAAAGAGGTTTTCTTCTTCATTGTTGCTGCAAACATTTTTTTTTGACATGTGTCTTCCCATGGAGTTCCTGACCTCATGTGAAATCAGAGCAGTAGGTGTAGAAGAATATAGATTACCACATTATTTAAATTCTAGCTTTGTTTAGAGTGCTTTCTCTGAATTATTAGTGTAGAAAGACAGTAAGGCTTAAGTGCTTATTGTGAAGTTGGGTGTCTGTGTGTGTGTGTGTTTTGTGGTGTGTGTGTTTTGTTTGTTTTGTAGTGCTGAAGATGGAACCTGGAGCTTGCTGTGCTAGGCAAGTACTCTACCACTGAGCTACACTGAGCTACATGCTGTACTGTGCAGCTCTAGAACCAATGGTGAACGTGCTCGTTTCTACCTTCAGCAACTGGAGAACATTTGGACACACGCAAGAAGCACAATGGTGAGAGGAAGAAGGAGGAGGAACTAGGAATAGGAATGGCTTTCAGCTTTATGATAATTGGGGATTATCCAGAAATATCTCAGAGGCCTGGAACAGCAGCAATGTACCCATTTATTGGAGATAGATGATAAGGCCAAGAGAAGCAGCTAGACCAGAAATCAAAAAGGAAGTTGGCTATGGGAGGAAATCCAGGAAACTAGAGATAGAACACACCTTACAGCCTTATTCTCAAACCTAAGTCCACCTTTTTCTCAAGGGAATTTTTTCCACACCAGATAGAATTTAATTCAGCAAGCACTGGTGGAGGTCTACCTTCCAATAATGGTCATCATCCACCAAGGGATGAACAAAAATTATAGGTGCACAAGATCTCATTGGGAGGAAAAGGCATTAATCCATAAAATGGAACAATATGAGATGTTATTTGAATGTTTATTGTGGAAAGTTCCCAACATAAACACAAATAGGGAGAATAATGAACCTCCATGCCCTATCACCTGTGGATAAACCTCAAAAAGTAAGAAGACACAAAAGGTCATATGTTAGAAGCTGAGTGTGGTGGCACACAGCTATAATCCTAATACTCAGTAGGCTGTGACAAGAGGATCACTGTGAGTTTGAAGCCAGTCTGGGCTATGTAGTGAATTCAATGCCAGCCTGAACTACATAGTAAGACCCTGTCTCGAGGAAAAAAAAAAGTCACATTGCATCATCCTCTTCATAAGAAATATTCAGAATAGAAAAATCCAGAGAAGCTGAAAGCAGACTGGTGATGGGGTGATTGCTAGGGGCAGTACAGAGGATGGAATGGGGAGTATTGGGTTTTATTTTGGAGTGATGAAAATATTTGGGAACCTGATAGAGGTGGTGGTTGTATTATCACTGTGAATGTACAAGATGCCACCAAAGCACTTCAGTTAATACTGTTATGGGAATTTCACCTAAATAAGGAAGAATAATCGTTAATGATTAATCCAATAGCACCTTTCATCAGGAGTGGCAGATATGATGCTAAAAACTGAGGGTATGAAGGAGAATAAGGCCCTTGGCTTTAGGGAGCCTACAGCTTGTAGAAGACACCAGCCAGGTGAGGAAGCACATGTAGATGCTGTTAAATGTAGATGCTGTTAAATGTCAGCCAGGGTGTGAAGGAAGAGGCTGTTCAGTCCCATCTGGGTAGTGCTGTCCAGCAGAAGCATAACATAAGCCACATGTGTGAATTAAAGTTCCTGATAGCCACATTTAAAAAGTAAAAAGAAACAAAGTGATTTGAATGATGTGATTTGTTTAACTCAACATATCTAAAACATCATTTCAATGTGTCATCAACCTACAACATTATTAATGACCTATTTCACATTCCTTTTTTCACACAAAACCTTTGTAATCCAGTGTGTGTGTGCG